AACAGCGTCGTACAGAGTCCTAGCGGTCTTGTACTGGCTAAAGTGCGCGCGCTCAGCAGACGGCAGGTGACTACGAACAGCAAGGCGCGCAGCAGCATCGCGCGTGGTCCACTGCGAGCGAACTGCACGGTCAGCATCGGCAGCAGGTGCAACAGCGATGCCAGACGTGTGATCGAACAGTGAAACTCCGTCCCCAGAGTCGCACTGCAGAAAGAGCTGGAGGTCATCGACCCAGACCTCGAAATCGACCGCTCGACCCTCAGCATCGAAGGTAAGAACACTAGGGCTAGCCATGGCGGCAGTAGCAGTGGCAGTAGCAGTAGCAGTAAGTCGAGCAGCAGCAGTAGTTTAGCACTAGCTGTAGCAGCAGTAGTTGCAGTAGCCACAGTAGTTGCAGTTCGGGCTGGGCGGCGCGGTTATGAATGAGCGGCATGGCTCGTGCTCAGTGGTGGAGCAGCAGCAGCACGTAGCAGTAGCAGCCGGCGCGCAGCAGCAGGAGCGAGTAGCTGCAGCAAGTAGCAGCAGCAAGGAGGAGCAATTGCAGCAAGTAGGAGCAGCTGCAGCAAGTAGCAGCAGCGGCAGCAAGTAGGAGCAGTTGCAGCAAATAGCAGCAGCGGCAATAAGTAGGAGCAGCTGCAGCAAGTAGCAGTAGCGGCAACAAGTAGGAGCAACTGCAGCAAGTAGCAGCAGCGGCAGTAAGTAGGAGCAGCTGCAGCAAGTAGCAGCAGCGGCAGCAAGTAGGAGCAGCTGCAGCAAGTAGCAGCAGCGGCAGCAAGTAGGTGCAGCTGCAGCCAGTAGCAGCAGCGGCAGTAAGTAGGAGCAGCTGCAGCAAGTAGCAGCAGCGGCAGCAAGTAGGAGCAGCTGCAGCAAGGAGCAGCTGCAGCATGTAGCAGCAGCGGCAGCAAGTAGGAGCAGCTGCAACAAGTAGCAGCAGTGGCAACAAGTAGGAGATGCTGCAGCAAATAGCAGCAGCGGTAGAGCAGCAGCACAGGCGCAGTGCAGCGTGCAGGCCTGGCGTGGGCTGTACTGGCCGCATGCGGGCCTGACGTGGGCTGTACGGGCTGCGCGAATGCCTAGCGCGGACTGTACGGGCCGCGCGCAGGCCTGACGCAGGCTATACAGGCCGCGCGCGGGCCTGGCACGAGCTGTACGGGCGGCGCGAAGGCCTACCGCGGACTATACGGGCCGCGCGCGGGCCTGACGTGGGCTGTACGGGCTGCTCGTGGGCTACGCGCGACAAGACAGGGCAGGGCTGCGGGGCAGCGAAAATCGACGCACCTAAGGGCGCATTTCGGGCAGAAAAATGAGAGAACGCGATTCGGGCAGGAACACGGAAGGTTTTAACGGTGGGCCCTTTGAAAAAAAAAATCGTCCTAGGCTAGGAAGGTCCTAGCTCTTAATACCATGTTGAGAATACTAGGAAGGTATGTCGATTAGGTAAGGGGAGGGGGTACAAGACAATCGAGAGAATTGGGTTGTACCCTCTAAGGAATGACCCCTACACAACCTAGAGAGAAATAACTAGAAGTATATAATTTGACAAAGCTGCCTCCATGGACACCTGACTACATCCAAGCCCTGTGCGTCAAAGCTGTCACTATAGCTCGCCACTTCAACAAGGGCGCGCAACTGTTCGCTGTCTGCTTACGCGAGTTGGCAGTCGACACCGACGGAAATGACATCGAGAAGCTGTGTGGAGCTGTACCGCCCGATTTAGCGGAGCTGATTCGACAGTACCCCGACATTTTCCCCGACGACCTGCCACCTGGACTGCCACCCGAGAGACCTGAAGACCACAAAATCCAGCTGGAACCTGGAGTGCATCCGACTGTTCGGACACAGTGGCGATTTACCCAGCCGGAACTCGAGGAGCTGCGAAGTCAAATTGACGCACTGTTGTAGAAAGGGTTCATTCGGGCCAGCACATCTCCCTTTGCGCCACCGATCCTGTTCACTCCGAAAAAAGACAGCGGGCTTCGCATGTGCATCGACTATCGCGCGCTGAACCGGGTCACCATCAAGTCTCGCTATCCAATCCCACGCACCGACGACCTCCTCGACCAACTTCGCGGCGCTCGCTATTTCTCGAAGGTTGACTTATATGGCGGTTACCACCAGATTCGAGTCTTCGCCGATGACTGTCACAAGACTGCGTTTTGCACACGCTACGGGAGTTACGAATTTACGGTGATGCCTTTCGGCCTCACGAACGCACCTTCAACATTTCAACTGACCATGAACAGGGTTTTTCGGGATCTTCTAGACAGTTGTGTCATCGTCTACTTGGACGATATCCTGATTTTTAGCAAGATAAGGGAGGAGGCAGAAGCGGCTTTCCAGGAACTCAAGAATTTTCTCGTTTCCCCTCCTGTGCTGCGCATCGCCGACCCATCGAAGCCGTTTGAAGTCGTCACCGACGCCTCAGATTTCGCCATCGGAGCTGTGCTACTCCAAGATTTCGGGAAAGGGTTGCAGCCGATCGCCTACGAATCACGCAAGCTGCAGGCAGCCGACCGCAAGTACCCGATCCACGACAAGGAGATGCTCGCAATAATACACGTGTTCAAACTGTGGCGCTGCTACTTGATGGGCATCGACGTCACTGTTCGCACGGACCACAAGTCCCTACAGTACCTAAGAGCCCAGCCCAACCTCAACCCGCGACAAATTCGGTGGCTGGACTACATGGAGATCCACTTCACCTACCGCATCACGTACAAGAAAGGGGCGAATAGCATCGCCGACGCCCTGACCCGACCGACACTACAATCCGCTGCAGTACTGATCACCCATTCGAACCCGTTACTTACAGGACTATTCACCCACGGCTACACTACGGACCCGTTCTTCACGACTGGGAACCATCAGCAGGCCACGACGCAGAAAGGGGATTATTACCTAAAAGCCGGAACCGACCGGATTTGGGTTCCTGCTTACAGGCTGCTGCGTGAACTCCTTATCCAAGAGGTCCACGATTCGAACTTCTCCGGACACTTCGGGGTTGATAAAACCCAGAAATTACTGCACCGTCAATACTACTGGCCTGACTCCTCTAACGACGTGCAGCGATATGTGTCCTCATGTAGGGTGTGCCAAGCCATAAAATCGACACGTCAACGACCAGTTGGGCTGCTGCAACCCCTCGAGCCACCCGAACGACCGTGGCAGCAAGTGACAATGGATTTTGTCACGGGGATGCCAGATGGGCCGTCCGGCAACGACGTTGTGCTCGTCGTCGTCGATCGCTTCACGAAAATGGCGCATTTTGCCCCATACCGAACGACAATCATAGCCGAAGAAATTGCGCGCCTCTTCATCTCAACGGTCGTGCGACTGCACGGCATCCCTTCGGCGATCATCAGCGACCGAGACCCGAGGTTTACATCGAAATTCTGGAAGGAGACGTGGGCGCAGTACGGCACGAAACTACAGTTCTCATCGGCATATCACCCACAGACGGATGGCCAGACCAAGCGGACCAATCAGACCATGGAGCGGCTGATCAGGAAAACTACCCCGACCCTGCCCGCTGGGAAGAATCTCTCGCCATGTTGGAGTTCGCCTTCAACAACGCACCGTCGAGTACGACTAATCACTCCCCGTTTTTCCTGAATTACGGGATGGACCCGACGGTTCCTACGGCGACTTCTCTCAACAACCCAGTCCCGCGGTCACAAACCTTTGTGACGTAACTTCAAGAAGTCCGAGAAAAAGCCGCAGACGCAATTCGCAAGGCGAATATAACTTCCCGAAAATACACCGACCTCCTACGCCGGGAACTCGTCTTGACCACTGGGCAACTAGTGCTCCTTGACACGAAGAACCTGCACATGCCCGGCCCGTCGAAACTACGGCCACGATTTTGTGGGCCATTCAAGATTATCAAGATGGTGACACCTGTCACCGCGAAGCTGTTGCTACCCGAGGACTGGCGCATTCATGACGCCTTCTACGTCAGCCTGCTTCGAAAGTTCGTGCCAGCCACGAAAGACATCGCGAGGCAACAAGCTGCCCCAACTACACGACCTGTCCCGGAGCCGACTCTCGAACCTTCGAAGATTCTGGCACATCGGGTTCGCCTTGATGCATTTGGTCGCCACGTCGATTTCCTAATCCGTTGGACTGACCGCACCAGTGAAGATGACACGTGGGTGCATTCTGATTCGCTCGACGCCTCGTCACTTGTTTGTGATTATTTGGCGCGCATGCGTGTTTAAGATACTGACCGCCTTTCTTAAGAGGGGGGGGTAGTGTAAGGAATTATGGAATTTTTTGAAAGTGGCAAGTGCTGAACTTCATTCTGAGTACATAACGAGGGTTGGAGGCCATTAGGCCTCCACCCACGTCTTCGTTTCGGAACTTCCGTTCCACTTCCCACCCGCCCCCCCCCATCGGTACTATCACGTGTAATTGATCGTTGGACGAGAATGTTGTAATTTCTCATTGAAATGAAGCACGTTGCCTTGCAAGGAACAGAAAGCAAGCTTTCTCAATTTCCCGAATTCCTTATCGGTGACTGCTACGCGTACAGCCCGATTTTCGGACTTTGCACGTTCGGCCGATTTCAATGCTGCCGAGGCTCCTAGCGTCGCCTTCGGCAATTTCCCATCGCCAAACCTGCACCCCAACCTCGCTCGTCCGAGGTTTCCTCCTAGCTAGGCTAGCCCCTACATTAGTGTGTGCCTTCATTGTATTCTCAGATCAGTTAAAACCCGCAGCCTGAATTACAAGAAAAGTTGGGAGGTGTTAACACTTTCCCTCCCGAACCAGTGTGGTTACCAGGTTTTCACCTGCAAAACGTGAAAGAAGTCGCAGGCAGCGCAGGGAAGGGTCGCTCGGTTCCTGGGCTGAGGTGTGCACACCAAACTGGAAATATGTAATTCAGGTCGTTCGAAACTGCCTAGTCTGAGCAGCTAGAGCGACAGCCATAGCATAGAACATCTAGCATTCTACCCCATTCCAGCGCATGGCGGAAAATTCCTCCTTAGGACGTTAGGACCATGCCTTCATTCTTCCAATCCGTCTCTAAAGCGCCCCGCGGTTCTAGGTCACGTTTCCACTCGACATAGCTAGCCGGGGCCATGGTTGCACATATGCCCGTCGTCGCCCTGGTTTCACTTCCACACCGCCCACCGCACCAATGTCGCCTATCTTCATAGCCGCGACGTCCTCTCTATCCGCCGCGTAGGTTTCATCCACCTGCTTCGCCGCATCGCTTCTTCTCCCCGACGTCCACACTCGGACCCCTTCCGGAACACACACGCGATCCCCTCCATCCCTCACGCTTCTTCCCTCGAACGAGCACGCTCCCTTCCCTCCCATCTCCTTCACGCAAAACCCTCTGTTGCGCACGCGAACATCCCTCCGTCGCGGATGATAACGCCTTCCCGTCGCACACAGGCACTCCCCTCGAACGGTCACGCACACTCCCTTTCGTCGCCGGCGCGCACTCCCTTCCGTCGCCCACGCTCAAGCCCTTCCCGTCGCCCACGCTCACTCCCTTCCCATCGCGATCGCGGGGGGAAATCGTACCGTCGCCCACGATCATTCACTTCCGTCGCCCACGCTCACCCCCATTCCATCGCCTTCGCGCAATCCTTCGGTCGCACACGCTCACCCCCGCTCGTCGCCACGGCCTATTCCTTCCCGCATCTCCGCCTCACCCCGTCTCCTCCTCACCCCAGCTCCGTCCGCGCGCACTCCCTCCCGTTGCGCGCGACAACTCCCCTTCCGCCGCCCACGCTCTCTCCCTCCCGCCACGTTCTCTCGCTTCCCTCCTGTCGCGACAGTCCCCTCCGTCGCCCACGCTCACTCCTCCCCACCACGCACGCTCTCCCCCCATCCATCGCCCACGCTCACTGCCCGTACTCCGCACACGCTCACTTCCCTCCGTCGCCCAGGCTCACCCCCTGCCCCTCGCCTTCTCTCATTCCCCTCCGTCGCCTATGCTCCATCCCCATCCCTTCCCTCCCCATCCCTCATCTCCCCATCCCTTCCCTCCCTATCCCTCATCTCCCCATCCCTTCCCTCCCCATCCCTCATCTCCCCATCCCGTCCCTCCCCATCCCTCACCTCCCCATCCCCGCCTCCCCATCCCTTCCCTCTCCATCCCTTCCCTCCCCATCCCTCACCTCCCAGTCTCTCAACTTACCGTCCCTCTTCTCCCCATCCCTCTTCTCCCCATCCCTCTTCTCCCCATCCCTTCCCTCTCCATCCCTCACCTCACCATTCCGTTTCAACCCATTCCGCCCACCCCATTCCGCCCCACCCCATTCCGCCCCACCCCATTCCGCCCCACCCCATTCCGCCCCATCCCATTCCGCCTCACCCCATTCCGCCCCACCCCAATCCGCCCCACCCCAATCCGCCCCACCCCATTCCGCCCCACCCCATTCCGCCCCACCCCCATCTCCTCCTCACCCCATCTCCTCCTCACCCCTCATCCGTTGTGCTTTTCGGCACTAAGAAGCTTTTTGGGGAGGGGAGATGCGGTTCCGCCCCACCCCACTCCGCTCTCCCCCATCTCCGCCCCACCCCACTACGCTCTCCCCCATCTCCGCCCCACCCCACTACGCTCTCCCCCATCTCCGCCCCACCCCACTACGCTCTCCCCCATCTCCGCCCCACCCCACTACGCTCTCCCCCATCTCCGCCCCACCCCACTCCGCTCTCCCCCATCTCCGCCCCACCCCACTCCGCTCTCCCCCATCTTCGCCCCACCCCACTCCGCCCTGGCCCACTCCGCCCCACCCCATCTCAAGGTCACCCCATTCCGCCCCACCCTTCAAAATCACCCCATTCCGCCCCACCCATCTCTGCCCCACCCATCTCCACCCCAACCCATCTCTGCCTCTCGTTTGTCTCCTACCATAATAATAATCCGTGAGTGTCTCTTTATTTCTTCCTCTTCGCAGGTGCCGGTTTGTCAGTGTCAGTGCCCACCCTTTTGTATGCGTTCTGCTTCAGCCACGAGCATCTGATTTTCACAACTGGGTTTGTACAGGTCCCCCCCCCCCCCCCCCCACCCCCCCCCCCCCCCCTATGCATTTGGTTCAGGAATGTTGGTTGTTGGTAGTACTACTACTAGGTATGACAAATAGACATGCCAATGTTGGATATTTAGTATTATATACTAAATTTTGATCCACAGAGGTATGAGACTGTAGACCACTTACAATGTGCATCAATCTAGTAAAAAAGAACAAGCTAGTCCATGTGATGTCTTGTCCAACTCTTGTCTGCACATACAGCAGCAAAAAACCAGGACTTGTGGTTCCCTCCCAACAGCTGGTGCTGGGCACCGACACACTGCATGGGTAAAGGGTTGAATAGGGGAGTGAGCAGGAAAGAACAGAATGAGCAGGGAAAAACAGAGTGCAGGGGAGACAGTGAGCAGAGGTAAAATAATTGAGCAGGGGGAAAGAGAGAGAACATGTTGAAAGGGAGTGAGCAGGTGGGAAGATAGTGAGCAGGGAGAAACATAGTGAGCAAGGGGAAGAGAGCGAGCAGGGGAAAACAGAACGAGCAGCAAGGGGAAGAGAATGAGCAGTGGAGGAAGAGAGTGAGCAGGGGGGAATAGAAAAAACAGGGGGGAAGAGAGGAAACAGAGCGAGCAAGGGGGAAACAGAGTGAGGAGCGGGAAGGGAGCGAGCAGGGAGAAACATAGTGAGAGCAGCCCTGTCCGTGCTGCACTCGCCGAACAGCGCCACCACGCTGGCCGCTGCCTGGCGTGCGCTGATGGCATGCGCCTTGCGCACGTCGAGGGTGTGAGAGAGGCGAGGAGTGTGAGAGAGGCGAGGAGTGTGAGAGAGGCGGGGAGTGTGAGAGAGGCGAGGAGGAGTGTGAGAGAGGCGAGGAGTGTGAGAGAGGCGGGGAGTGTGAGAGAGGCGAGGAGTGTGAGAGTGGCGAGGAGTGTGAGAGAGGCGAGGAGTGTGAGAGAGGCGAGGAGTGTGAGAGAGGCGAGGAGTGGCGGAGGAGGATTGGGTTAGAAGGGGAGGAATTGCAGGGAAGGCGTGAGAAAAAATACCATGGAAGTTCAAAGGTAGGGAAAGGGAAATGATGTTGTTCGAGGGGAAAAGAGGCGATGAGGGTTGAGAGTGGGAATGGAAAGCAGGGGCTTATGAGGAAGGGTGCGTGGGGAGGCGTGGCGAGTGTGAGAGGGCGGGCGGACGTCGTGATGAGGCCCGCAGGCGAGCGCGGAGTGAGCAAGGGGATGAGGGTGGGCATGGGGAAAGGGAGTGAACAGGGGGGAACACCACGAACTGGGGGGAAGAGGGTGAGCAGGGGGAAACAGAATGAGCAAGGGGGAAACAGAATGAGCAAGGGGGAAACAGAATGAGCAAGGGGGAAGAGAGTGATCAGGGGGGGGGGAGGGAGTGAACAGGGGGGAACAGAGTGAAGGGAGGAAGGGGAGTAATTGTTTCGCATGAGTGTACGTGGGTGAGAGTGAAGCTTTGGGTGGGGAAAAAAAGAGGTGGTAAACCAGGGCACTGGGAAGGGTAGAGAAGGCGGCGGGGCGGGAAACCAGGGCGTCGGCGCGAGGGAGGGGAATGGGCATGGGCGACGGAGGAAGGAAGCGAGGGCGAAGAAGAGGGGACGCTCGACGAAGACGTCAGCGGCGGGAATGAGAACAATGTTGACGCAGCGACAGGTGGGAGAGGAGAGGTCGACTCGGCGAGCGATGGGGAGGGAAAACGAGGGCGACGGGAGGGGGAAAGCGAGGGCGACGGGAGGGGGAAAGCGAGGCCGACGGAAGGGGGAAAGCGAGGTCGACGGGAGGGGGAAAGCGAGGTGGACGGGAGGGGGAAAGCGAGGTCGACGGGAGGGGGAAAGCGAGGTCGACGGGAGGGGGAGGCGGCGATGGCGACCCGCGAGGCGAGGGTGGTAGGCGGGGAAGATGCGGTACGCGACGGGCGGGGGAAGCGAGGGCGGCGGGTATGGGAAGCGAGGGCAACGGGAGGGGAGAAGCGAGGGCGGGCGGAGGAAGCAAAGGCGACGGGCAGGGAGGAGGCGAGGCGACGGGCGGGGAGGAGGTGGTGCGCGGGAAGAGCGAGGGCGACGGGCGGGGGAAGCGAGGTGGGCAAATCGCTAATATCTCCCGTGCCATCTCGTTTCTACGTGCGTCACACTCGCAGCCAGCGCCTACGATTCACTTCGATTGCATGACCGCGCTTCATCTTCTATTCGATCGTCCCTAAATTGTGTTCACTTGATATGCCTGGCTGGTGAGCGCGATGCTTGGATCCTAAAAAGCTTGTCTGAGTTGTTCGCTTGTTCTGTCGCACAGGTTTTTACCCTGCTCTAGCTCTCTGGGGTTGTAAGCAGAATGTATGCGAACTGTTGGGTTGCGTTGGCTGATAACGCCTCGTTGACTCACGGGAGAGTCGCATCATGTTTCGCTAATTTTTTTGCTTTCGCAATTCTGCCGCACCTCATATTGCCCGAACCCCAAACCTACCAAACCAAGCGTTGACTCAGTTTTTGTAATTCAGGCTTCGGGTTTTAATCAGAGTCTCGTTATTCGTTTACCTGCGCACTCTCTTTTACAACTCAACATTTGGCCACGTACACCAGAAGCCTACGTGGAACTCAGGTTGTGTTTTTGTCGGAAAATTCCACGCGTCAGTGGTTACCATCAGCCTCACATATTTCGTCCAACTTCCCGTCAGTTCCTTCACTTTCCGTCCGCCTGCACTGTACATCACAACGTGGGTCTGCTCGTCAGCATGACGCTAAGATATTTCGCGAGGTTGGTTTCACCGTTCCCTGAACAATGTTCTGTCACGAACCGCTTTGGAGGGCTCTGGAACTTCCCGCCACAATTCGCCTTGTTGTCGTCCGTGTGACGTTGCTTTCCCTCCAAAATGTGGCCCGCTTTCAGGCCCCTCAACCTCTACCAACCAGGGAACCAAGCGAAAAGGGAAAAAGCATATTTTAGCGGGGAACCAAGCCGAAAACCACCACACTGTACTGCCGACATTCCCAGGCCGTGAAACCCCTCCTCCTTGACTCGACATAACCAAGGCCACCACCACAACTGCCATCAACTGCCTCACGCACCTCCCAACGCAACCTCGACAACACCGGCCATCTCAAAAGACGCGAGCAGGTTCTCTTGGTTTCATCGCAAGCCAATTCCAGCTATCTAAGGCGCGCCAGACCCTTATCACCCAGTGACTCAGCCAGGCTTCTCTGGGACCACAAAGCCGTCTCTTACCCAATTGCGACCGAGAGTCTCGCCACGCCATGCATGCGTGTCTGGCCTCCCCGTGCGCAATGAACGTCAACCGCCCAACATCGTATGCCAGCACGCATCCTCCTCCCAGCAGCGACATACAGTCTGCCATCGATTGCTCCTCGCTAGGGTGGTTCTCAAGCTCCTCGCCACCACCGCTCTCACTGCCAGCCATCGCCTCTACGCTTCCTCTGCATGCTCGCCCACCCCTCATCCCATGCAGCTTCACCGGAGGTGGAGTATCGATGTGCCTTTTATCGATTCGTGCGCGCGCTTGTCATCGCACCTTTTAGGACGCCTTGCTGTTCAAGTAGTTACCTGATCAAGTCTTCCACTCGCCACTGTTTCCGTATCCTCGTGCATTCACACACTCCAGAACGAGAATCAGAGTCGTGCTGCCAGCGCTCCCAAGCTCTTCCAGGCTCATCGCGCGTTGCTGCGATTGGTCCCACCGGTCAGCATCGCACCACCATCATGAACTCCTCTCAGGTACCTCACCCCTCCCCCTTTTCTTTTTTCTTGTGATGGGTCGGATCGCCGCGTCGGTTTACGCTTCTGTAGTTCGCTTGTTTCAGTTTCTCGTGTTTCCTTCTCCCTCTTGCCATCCCTCGCTGTGTCCGCCAGGCCATGTCGCCCGCCGTAGAAACACGTGCTTCCGCATCCTCTGTGGACTCTCCCGCCACTCACCTCTCGCCGAATCCCGTCCTTTCCGACTCGTACCGCCGCCCCCGTCACTTCCTCAAACGCTCTGTTTGCTCCCTGATTCCTTCCTCGCCGTCGCCTTCGTCCGCCAAGCGCGCGTGCAAGCGGCGACTGTTCCTCGAGTTGGACGAGGCGCCTCGGCGCGATGGAACCGAGTGTTCCGCTTCCTTCGCCGGCGATGACGCGGAGGTGGCGACGCCTCTGTTCCGTGAGGAGTACTCACGCCACCGCACGCTCCTACGCCCGCTGCCGTCGCCTTTGCACCTGGGCCTCTCGTGCGCGGACGTCACAGCCCACGACGCCTCCACTAAGCTGTACGACGGCGAGCGCGACGGCGCATCGTCTCCGTGCTCGTCCGTGGCGGACGGCGAGTGCGGGCAAGTTCCCACGCCAGGGCGGGTAGAGGGCCCGCTGAGCAGCTTCTGGGAAGCAGGTACTACCCACTGCCCCTCACGCGATTTCCTGTGGTGTCAGAACCTCTTTGAACGCTGGGTGCCAATAGTTCGTTTTGTTCTGATATATTCTTCTCTTGTCACCTTTATATGTGTCTCCGCCACAGATGTCACCACACCTCCTACCTCACCTCGCCCCGATGCGCTCCCTGTCTGCCCCGGCGCGCCTATGAAGCCCCGCCCACTTGCAATAACATGCCACGTGCCCTCTGCTGCCCTGCACCGCATCATGCGCCCCCTCTTCCTCTGACTCCACCTCTGGCATATGAATCTCCACACACGCCCTGCTCACCTTCACGTGGGTGCTGCTGGCGTCTAACAGCCTGCCGACAGGCCCACTCAACGGATGACACATCAGAGTGCTGCTCCCAAGCCACATGCACTAGTAAAGCTGTCCGTGACTTAGACTATGGCCACGGGCAGATGTGGTGACAGGTAATTGAAAGTCGCCCAGTAGCGCTTTCTATAGCTCTTGACTTGTCGCAGCAGCAATTGGAATATGTCTCCGTATTAGGGCTGTAATTGTACATATACTACTAAACTACCATTGCCTTGAAGAAACTTCAGATGAACTACTAATCTCAGACTTTTCCAATCCAAACCATGAACTTGGTACCTAAGTAACTTGGTACAGATATTCCATTCTAGAGGCGCTGTTTGTGTTCCTGGAAATACCTTTATACCAGGCATTTCAGTATACGATATCTAAAGTTCTCATACGGTACACCCCTTAGATGTTTCCATGGTTGCACCAATTGTCATCCTCTATACTGTAGTGGCCATTACAGTATGGTCAAGTCGCTGCTTGTGCCACCCTGCCACCCTCCGTGGCAGGCAGCACGGGCGTGGCGCGCCAGGCGGCGGCGAGGAGGCTGCCACAGAGGGAGTGCATGACGGAGGAGACGGCACAGGGCGCTGCCACCCGCGGGTCGGGGAAGTGCTGCATGGCCAGCACCACCCCCAGCACCGAGTTCTGCCGTCCGTGGTGCACACACGGGGGAGAGGGGGGCAGGAGAGGCAGTTGCAAGGCCAGCGCATTACAATACAGCGATGGACTGCACTTGGTAGATGCAACGTGGAAAAGAGGACCAAGAACATCTCACTTCAACAGGAGCATAGGCACAGAGCAGCCTTCCAGCATGGAGGGTGACGCACGCACCTGCATGCCGACTTCAATGGATATGGTGCGGCTGGCAGACTCATCGAGGCGCAGCACAGCACGGGGCAGCAGGTAGCCGAGGGCGAAGCCGAGCCCGTGCAGTGCGAGCACGGAGAGCAGCAGCGGCAGCGCGGCGCCTCGGATGGTGGCGGCGGAGCCCGAGATGGCCCCCGCCACGATGAGCGCCACTGTCAGCACTGCCAGCACGGGCGAGAAGAGCGCCAGGTGGCGCGCCACTGCGGGGAAGAGACGCGCGAGCAGGCAGCCCGTGAACACAGGCAGCATCACCACCTGGGGGGGGGGGGGGGGGACGAGAAGGAAGGAGGAGGGCAGCGGCAAGAGCATATGCTCAATAAAGAATTTGCACTACTTACATGGACTTCGCACCCACAGCTCACAGCCCATATACTGCCATTCCCATTACACTCGCCCATCCTGGAGTTGGCCTTAACTCCTCTGGTTCCACCTTGTGCTTCATTGTCCCTTGTTTTTTCTTCTCATTGAATGATTTCTTCTTCTAACAGAACCATATGCTTACGCATTTACAACGGACATTTACAACGAACATTCTATATCACAAAAAGGGCGGAATGGAGTGGAGTGCCGGTGGAGAGTACCTGCAGGGTGGACATGAAGAGAGCAGCCCCATTGACGGGCACGAAGCGACCAGCCAGAAGGGAGGTGAGGAGAGGAGTCATCACCTGCGGGGATTCAGGGGGTCAGAGGAGGCACGGGGATGGGAGGCGAGTCAAGGAGCACGTTGGCTAGCTACTAGGAAAGGCAAAGGGAACAAGTAATGCAACAAACAGCCATGCTTTAGTCGGCGAAGCGAGTAGAGTCACTTGCATACCACGGCTAGCAGAGTGCTGAATGTCGTCATGAGAACAGAGAGAGCCACGTTGCCCCTGTTGCCACAGCGAGGGACGATGAGAGTTGAGAGGGGCAGAGGGAAGAAATGGGAAAAGTAAGAGAAGAGCCCGTGCCCAGCATGAAAGAGCTGGCTGGGGAGCAGCAGGCGAAGGGGAAGGCAGTGGGAGGATATGGTGGAAAGAAGACATCAATAATTATCCAGAGCTGGCATGGGGACGAGGCTTGTTGACATGCAGGCAGTGCAGCAGTGATGTGGTGGCAGCAGGCAGCAGGGGCAAATGACTGACCGTGCAAGGAAGGTGACGATGTTGCTGGCAGTTCCTGGTGGAGGGCAACAGTGCACACAGTGGGGCATGAGCACGAGCACACACACACACATACACAGATACACACATGGGTACAGACACAGACACACCGTCAGATATGCGTGCGCGCATACGTACACACAGATATCCACGTATAAACACAGATTGATGCACTTGTTTCATACAATCAGACACAAGGTGAATAAAAAAACTGAGAAAATATCTGTGAAATGCAGGAGATGGTGATGATACATTACACGAAGCAACTGTGGAAAAGAGCTGCGATGCAAAGAGGTGAGAGGGCAGGGAGGGCAGGGATGCAAAATTTGTGAAGGGGCACAGCACAGCACCCGGTGCATGCATGCGCGATGGGGCGGCGGGAGTACTGACCGCCGGGGCAGCAGGCTACGAGCACAAGGCCGGTGGCGAAGGCAGAGAGGTGCGGCGGCAGACCGCGAGAGATGAGCGCCCCCAGACATGGCATCACCTGCCCACGCACACGGGGAGGCAGGCGGACGCCAAGGACTTGGGTGGATGAGGGCGTGGGGGTGTGGGCATTGGCAGGAGGAGGAGATTTGAAAGGGCAGAGCATGGCATGGCGGCAGCAGCGCATTGCTACAGCATTTTTGCAGTGCGCGCACAGTAGAGCGTAGAGCGTGGCTGCTGGCCATGTGATGGCGCCATGGCCTTTCCCCATGGGGAGGAGCACAGCATGCATGCAGGCGGCTCACCGTGTACTGCAGCAGCACGCCCGCCAGCAGCTGCCGTGGCATGAGCACGGCGCGCCTGAAGTCATCCACACTGATCGTCAGCCCCATGCCTGGCGCATGGCGTACGGGCATGGGGAAGGGGGGCGTGGTGTATGGCATGGGCATGCGCAACAACAAGGGGAGGTCATTCACGGTTAAGGGAGGGAAGATGAGGCGGGCAGCAAATGCAAATCAAACTCTACATGCCGTGTGACTCTCAGTCTGCTCACCATTCTCACGACCTTCGTCGCCCCATCCTACCATACCCTGCCGCCCACTCACCCAGCATTGTGAGCGCAAGCCCACCAACTACAAAGCGGCTGTCCTGGCAAACGACAAAATGCGCCGGCCAGCGGAGGGCGGCAGCACACGCGAGTGCGACCCACAGGGGGAAGAGCGTCACGAGAGTCGACACCGCACTGTTCGCCTCCGCGGCCTCGTCCGCGTGCTGTATTTCCGCCACCTGCGCCGTCGCTTCCGCGCTTTCCCCTGCTACGGAAGCTCCATCATCTGCCTGCGCCCTTCCAGAGGAGTCGTCGGCTTGCGCGCGGAGCTCCCGCCATTCCCTCCTCTCCCGCCTCGAGCACTTCCGCCAAGGGTTGTCCGCGCTCGACCGGACCAGCTCTGAACCCGCATTTCGCGGCCGAAAGAGAGCATTCGCGCGGAGTGCGCTTGGCAGGGGGCACGTTTCTATGCGGAAGTATGGGCGGACGGCCCCGTGGGACAACTGCGGGAGTGGCGCAGAGGAGTGCACTATAATGTGCGGGGCACTGGAGGAGGCTGGCGGCATGATAGGCATACGATACTAGCAGCACGCGTGAAAGCGAAGAATGAGAGCTTTACAGGCTACAAAATACTGACAACTTGACGCCTCCACCTTCATAATAGCCCCCAAAAGTGTTAAAGCTGCTGTCTACATACTTCGAGCGGGAGGCAAAGGCTTATCACAGGAAACAGGGTAACCCTGCTTCTACAAGTACCCCTCTGCGGTAGTATACATTTGACAGCGGGTTCAGGGTTTTATAGTGTGCCCCACAATTTAGCCCAACCATGTACCATCTATAAACTTTTGGCACTCTACCGGAAGTTGAATGTTCAAGGGTGGTTTACCCTAAACAGTGCCCCCAACCTCATCCCAACCTTAGGGCATGTTACATTTTTTTTGGGCTGCGAAGCAACCTATTATTGGGTTGCAAAGCAACCTATTACAATCGATCTAGACAGTTTTTTTTCATGTTTTTTTATAATAAAACATGAAAAAAAAATCGAAAACTACAGTAATAGCCATTACATAGTGTGTGTCCGTTGAACAGTAATGCTATTTGCAGTATATTAGGTGCTGTGATATAATTTTGTAGTACCGTCACACCCCGGATATACCCCCATGGGGGGGCAATAATAAAACATGTTTTTTTAGGGGGGTGGGCTTATAATCGAGTAAATTTATAAGCGCTGGCGCTTATAAAATGACATATATATATATATTTTTTTATGTTTTCTAACACCAAACTGTAGATCTCGTGCTTGCCTTTCAATCGAGTCGAAGTTACATGGGGTCGTCGGTGAAATTTTCCGCGCGCGCTGGAAGATACACTCAATCTGACTCACATCCAGCTCCTAACAGCTCCTGCTGACTGGACTCGCATCCAGTGCAGGGTCCGAATGTGAGGGGAACCGAATCTGCAACACATTCGCCTGCTAAAGTAAAAATCGTTACAACGTTTTGAATACATTTCAAATTTTACGTGCGCTTATAATAAAACAAGTATTTTCAGGGGATGCGCTTATAATTGAGGAGCCAATATAAGTGCCATATGCCAATTAAAAGCGCTTGGCGCTTATCCCAGGGTGGCGCTTATATCCGGCATATGACGGTACTTTTGTGCATACATGCGGTACTGTTTACACTTCTTCTTTTACATGATTATGAGATCCACACATATGCTAAGATGAATGTAATGAAACAAACCATATGAATGCATTATGCATACTGTGAAGAAATGAGGAATGAATGATGAACTAGGAAATGAGTTGGGTACAAATATGAAACCCTAGAAAGCTGTACCCCATACTGTCTACCCCACTACAGCCTAGAAAGACTATAGCATATAAGTTCGACACACCCCCATAGGCAAAGTGGGGGAGAACAAGGGGTCACAAGACCAGTCAAGCAAAGCACAGCAAGCTCAAGGTGGATCCCAACGTCACCACACATTCTGAGCACAAGTTCAAGGGCCACAAGGCCAGTTCACATGCAAGCATGTATATATAAAGATAAACATGCAAGTGCAAGTATATATAGGTCACAGTACAAGCAAGGTCAAGAAGTGAGCAAGTGAGGCAAAGTAGGTACAAGACCTAACAAAGTACAGAAGCGCTGATGATCACAAGGTGCGAGTGCCTTGGTGAAGATATCAGCAGTGCTGGCCTGAGAGGCCACGTAAGCAAGTCGTAGCTGACCACGCTGCTGCAGCTCACGAGCAAGGAAGTAGCGAAGAGCAATGTGCTTCGTTCTGTGCTCCAGTCTGTGCTCCCGACACAAGGCCAGCATGGCCTTGTTGTCTACGTACAGAACTGGAGGAGAACGAGGCGGCTCTCCGAGGTCAGTCAGCAGGTAGGTGAGCCAGCGTAACTCCTGTGCAGCCATGGCCCCCGCGTAGATCTCAACCTCACAACTGGAGCTGAGAACAGAAGAAGAGCGGGTAGACCGCCACGAAACAGAACCGGAACCAAGGCTGAAGGTGTAACCCTGTGACGACCGCTGCGTAGCCAAGTCGTCAACCCAAGACGCGTCTGCGTTACCAGTGAGGACCACTGGACTCCGCCCTCCAAGCACTAGCCCCATGCCCGACGTACTGCACAAGTAGCGCAACACCCTCTTCGCTGCAGCCATGTGCTCAGGGAGGTGTCTCCAAGGAGCAACATAGCGTGCCAGAATGCTAAGAGGGTATGCAAGGTCGTGTGCAGGTCATCAGGTACATGAGGCAGCCAACAAGCTCTGGGTACGGGCCACTCGGCTCTACGGACTCATCCGAAGGCAGAGCTGAGAGCGAGTGGCGAGTAGACAGAGGAGTGGCCTGAGGCGAGGAGTACGTGAAGCCGAAGCGCTGAAGGACCTGCTGCACCATGTGTGACTGAGTCAGGGTAATGGTGCGCTGTGCTCTGTCCCGAGTGATCTGCAAGCCAAGGTAGCTGTGCAGTTCACCCAGGTCTGTGCACGTGTGTCTCTTCTGCAGCTCGGACTTCACGTGGGCGAGTCCAGCAGTGTCAGCTGTGGCAAAGACCAAGTCGTCGACGTACACGAGGATGTAGAACGGCGGCAAAGAGGTGTCGGTGCGTAGAAACAGCGACGGGTCGGCAATAGAAGGAGCAAACCCAAGAGCCGCAAGTGTAGTCCTCAGTGTGTCGTGCCACTCACGAGGTGCCTGGCGGAGACCGTAGACTGGCCGCCGGAGGCTCCACTGGGTGCCAGGAGGAAAAGACCCAGTGAAGCCAGGTGGGCAGCGCAGCCAGATCTCCTCGTGCAGGCTGCCCTGTAGGAAAGCAGTGCTGAAGTCAAGAGAGTGAAGCTCGTAGTCACGGTGAGCGGCTATGTGCAGCAGTACCCGAAGAGTGGTCATCTTCGGGGTGGGAGAGAAGGTCTGAAAGTAGTCAACTCCCTGTCGCTGACTGAAGCCTCGAGCCACGTACCGCGCCTTGAAGACAGGCGGAGAACCCGGCGGCCGCTTCACCCTGAAAATCCACATGCCACTGACGATGTTCGCCCGAGGTGGTGGAACCTCGTCAACGTAAGTGCCTGTGGACTTCCAGGAAGCCATCTCTGCATCCATGGCTGCTTGCCACTGAGAGGAGTAGGGACCCTCTATCGCCTCCGCGTAGGAGCGCGGAGTCGGGATGTCTGGTGCATCCGGGTCTCCCTCAGGGGCAAGCAGCATGGATACAAGATGAGGTGAAGCAGCAGCAAAGCACTGGAACTCCTCCTGCCTGTCCTCAAGGACGTCCGTGCCAAGGGCACACTCACCCCCGACGGACGGAGGACAGACAGACGCAGACTCAGCGACAAGACTAGCAGCGTAGTCTAGACGACAGCGAGCAGCGAAGTCGACAAGCTCAGCAACTAAGGCAGACGCAGCAGTGGACTCAAAGGAAGGGTCATTGACGACAGTAGCTAGGAGACGCGTGACAGTAGGACTGGCAGCACGAAGGGAGTCCGACTCCGGGTCAGCAAGAGCAGGAAGAGAGGACTCAGGAGGAGAAGGCAAAGGGGCATGCAGTGGAGCAGTAGAAGGACGCAGAGACATCCGGTGCGTACCGGGGACAGGAGGAGGACGCTGACGCGAACCACGACGACTAGTGCTAGCAGCACGAACAGGCGACGCAGGACGAGACGCAGGCTCACGACGCTCAGCAAGACCTCTAGTAGGACCAGTGTAGGGAGAAGGAGCAGGCAGTGGAGAGGCTCGCTGTAACTGTGACTCGGACTGGACAGCCGGCGGACACTCTAAGGGAGGAGCAGGACCAAGAGAGGATGGAAGACCAAGAACCTGCTCAAGGAGCGGAACGAAGTACGGCCGCGGCCGCGCAGCGCCACCAGAACCAGCAGGAACAACACCAGCACCCCCAACGGCAGCACCAGCACCAGGAGCACCCCCAGCTCCAGCAGCGCCAACTCCAGTACCTCCAGCACCCTCAGAAGCACCAGCACCAGCAGCACCTCCAGCGCCAACAGCCCCAGCACCTCCAGCTCCAGCCGGACCACCAGAAGACGCAGTAGCTCCAGCACCAGCAGCACCAGCTCCAGCAGTAGGAGCACCCGCAGGCCCAGCAGCTCCAGGACCCTCAGGACGAGCACCTCCGGGACCCGCGGCACCAGCACCCTCAGCAGCAGTAGAACCTCCAGCTCCAGCAGCACGGCTCCAGCGCCGAGCAAACCACTCACGCAGCTCCCGTGGAGAGAGGAGCTCTCGCCGGGGCGAAGCACCCGAAAGGCCTCCAGGCCCAGTCCCGCCAGACGCCACACGAGCAGGCGCAGCACCCCCAGGCTCCGCACCCACAGGCTCAGCACCCCCAGTCTCAGCACCCCCAGGCTCAGCACCCCCAGTCTCAGCACCCCCAGGCTCAGCACCCCGAGAGTCAACACCCCCAGGCTCAGCACCCGCAGACCCCGCACCCGCAGGCGAAGCACCCCTAGCAGCACCAGAGTCAACCGCTACCTTGACAGGCTCGACTGCGTCTACCTGGGACACACCTGAGGGGGCAGGACCTTCAGGGGGAAGGGGGTCTACCGAGGGGGGACTTGGCGCGAGGAAGAGCGGCGGTGGGGGGAGGGACGCAGTGCGGTAGAAGAAGAGACGGTAGTAGGGAACCGACTCGTCAAACGTGACGTCCGGAGAGGACAGAACACGGCGCGAGGTGGGGTGGTAGAACTTCCAACCAGGCGTGTCAGGGGGGAAGCCAAGGAAGACGCAGGAAACAGCACGGGGGGACAGCTTGTCCGCAGACAAGTCGCGGACAAACGCCCGAGATCCCCAGACACGGAGCGCAGACGCATCGCCAACCTTCCCCGTCCACCGCAGAGCAGGGGAGGTCTCCGGCATGGAGACCCGGGGCTGAAGGTTGATCTGATGCGCCGCGTACTGAACTGCAAACGGCCACAGAAAATGGGGGGCAGCCGCATGGATCATGGACGTATGAGCGACGTCCATGACCATGCCAATGCGGCGCTCAGCAATCCCATTTTGCTGTGGAGAGGCCGGAAGCGTGAACGTCTGGCGGATGCCTCGTGCACGA